TATATTTGGGTGTCATCAGCGTATTGATAACACCCAGCCCCATGTCTCTTAATGATCTTTCCCAGAGGCTTCATATAGATGTTGAACAACATCGGGGACAGAATGGTGCCCTGTGGGACACCACATTTTAGGTCCATTTTTGGGAAGCAACTGTTCTCGAGTGACACCCTCTGGGACCTGCCCGAGAGGAAAGAACGGAACCACTGGTTATTTGTAACATTTATTTTTATATGTTTGTGCATTTGATTAGTTTCCTTGTAGAGTGAGAAGGAATTATTTGTTTATTTTATTTTACTTTATTTATATCCTGCCTTTCTCTTCGTATGGAATCCAAACATACATTCAACAAACATGCATTATTTTCCCATACATCAATCCTCCATCATTACCTTCACATGATTCCCTATTTTTGCTTAGAGTATATCCACTCATACATCTGCACTGACTGGTCTTGGAGTCTTGCTTACAGATTCTTGTCTTACACTTTCTTCTGTTTGAAAGACAAGGCCTCTTAACTGGAAAAGAGGATTATTTCTAGTTAAAAAGTAACTCAAAATGTGCTCAGTTAGGTACACAAAATGGCAGTTCTAAAGCTACTACTTTATAAGTATTCACACACCACTGCATTCTGGTGTGCCTTGATGCCTTTTTTCCCATCCACAGTCAAGCTTTATGACAACCTTAATTGAGCTCAGTTCACTTTGTGGAAATTTTGCAGCATGATTCAATAATGCTTACATGCTGTTTGAGGCAGCAGTAGTTGTTGTTATTGTGTGCCTTCAAGTCATTTCAGACTTATAGTGACCCTAAGGCAAATCTATTGCAGGATTTTCTTGGCAAGATTTATTCAGAGGGGCTTTGCCTTCCTCTGAGGCTGAGAGAGTGTGAATTTCCAATACGTTTCCATGGCTGAGCAGGGATTCGAACCCTGGTCTCCAGAGTCGCAGTCCAATGTTCAAGGCACTATACTACACTGGCTCTGGAACATAATCAACAAGAAATAGCATCCAAGCATAATAGAAGTGGAATACCACTTAGATCCAGCATATCAGATAAACAGACCAATCTGTCCTGTGAGCAATTTCCATCTACTAGAAGTCTACAGAAAGGCCAGCCTTACCATTAGCCAAAATGAGAGCATTTCCTCTGCCAGCAATACCACTCCTCTCCCTACAACCATTCTTCCTGATTCTACATCCTCCAACTGTTCCAAATTGTCGGAGACAGTACAGATTAATATTTTAACATCCCACTTTTTCAGCTGCCTTTAAAATGTCCCAGTTGCTCTCTCTCCTCTCCTTGCCTTCTTTGTCCCTAGCTTATTTTAGGAGATTATTACACTGCCTTTCCTCCTAGCCTTAGGCCAGGTTGAAACTTTTGAAAACTTTTTTAAAACGGTTGTTATCGCAAACCTCTGTGTCTCTGGCACTTTTTGAAAGAATGGAAGTTTCCCATTATTTACAAAGTATGAGAGAAGTACCAATCAGGTATGGGATACCAAGATCGGGTATGCAATGTTTCTGGACGGGCACAGAGGTGTGCGATAATACCCATTTTTAAAAAGTTTTAGCCCGCACTGATGCTGGAGGGAAAGGCAGTGTGATAATCTCCTTAGTTGCCACAAACTGAGTTCACATTGCAAAAGAAGTTTGCAATGCAAGGTTTTGGTCACAGTTTACCCACTCCTGCTTTATAATACATGTAGGTGTATTTATGTATAGATACAACACAGATATAAAGGCTGGAATTCTTTTGGGATAAAAAAAGGTATGTAAGCAGTTGTACATTCTTAGAAGCTGGATAAGTGCAATACTTTGTGTAAACAATCCTTTTGCAAGTACACACACAAAGTCCTATCTCTAACCCTTTGATTATAATGTTATACACTGTTGTAAAATGATCTCATTGCACAAACGAGTTGCACAACTACAGGATCCAGCATAGCTATGATGGCATATATCTATGCTGTGCTGTAAATGTATAGGATCTTGGCCATAACTATAATGTACATCAATAATTTATACAGTATATGATTCAATATATAGGATATCAGTGAAACAAAATGCTCTCAAGAAACAAAACATCAGGAACAGATAGCATACCAATAATGCTATTTCAAGAAAGAGGCAGAATCCATTCATTCTTTGTTTTTTAAAAAAATCTGCCAAGAAATATAGAAAACAAAACAATGGCTCACAGATTGGAAACATTCTATTTACATTTCAATCCTCAAGAAAGGGGGCACAAGGGGTTGTAGTAACCATCAGACCATCTCATTAATCTCTGACTACTGCTCAAGATTTAACTACTGCTCAGAATTTTACAACAAAGAATTTAACCATAGATGGAGCAAAAAATGCCAAATGTCCATGTTGGGTTCAGAAAAGGAAGAAGCACTAGGACTCATATTACAAATATATGTTAGCTCATGAAGCACACCAAATAATTTTTTTTTAAAAAAAATCAGCGTGTGCTTTATTCATTATAGCAAAGCCTTAGATCATGAGAAATTATGGTTATGTTTTAAAGAAATGTGTGCAACAAAATCTGATTGTCCTGATGCATAACCTCTGCTCTGGGCAAGTGTTTTTCCACCTGCAAGAGCCAAACAAGGCTGCATTTCCTCACCCTATCTGTTTAATTTATATGCAGAACATATAATACATATAGAACATATAAAACGGGTAGCAGGATTAGACTTGGAGGCATGACAATTGAGAGAAATAATATCAATAATTTTAAGATAATTTAAGATATGTAAATTACATCACAGTAGCAGAAAAATTTTGCTGCAGTTGGTGAGGGAAGAAAACCACGAATTCCCAGAAACAGCAGTATATTGTTATGAGCATTCTCTTGTAATTCAAAATATCTTGGGAATCTTGGGAATCTTCAGTCTTGAATGAGCAATTAAGATCCATTAAATTTATAAAAAGATTGTTCCTAATAAAGATGAATATTGCTAGAATTGGTTTATTAATATGAGTCAATACACTTACCTGCATTTTGATACTCTTCTTGGTGAGAATGCTGTATGGAATGTCAAGATGAATGTCTACACTTCAGAATCTACCACTGTACCACCACTAAAAACCTCTCAGGGGAGTTTTAATTTGCATTGACCATGTATGTGATAAAACTGTTCCTACCCTTATGACTCTGGAGACCAGGGTTTGACTCTTTGCTTGGCCATATAATCCATTGGGTGACCTTGGGCAAGTCACATGCTCTCAACCTCAGGGGAAGGCAATGGCAATCCTCCTCTGAACAAATATTGCCTAGAAAATCCATGATAGGGTCACCATAAGTTGGAAACAATTTGAAGGCACACAACAAGGGCCAACATAGCATAGTGACTATGACACTGGACACCAGGTTTCAAATCTATGCTTAGCCATGATCTTGGATAAATCACACTTTCTCAGCCTCCGAGGATAGCAATGACAAACCCCCTCTGAAGAAATTTGCCAAGAAAACCCTGTGATAGGTCACCATACATTGGAAATAACTTGAAGGCACACAACAACAACAACAACAACAACCCAACCATGTTTCTTCCTTTATCACACAACTCCTTGCATGTCTGGACTCACCTCCCTGTAGGGTCTATTATACTGAGCTTGCACTTCAGAAATTACCACTGCGCAACAGTTATATGTCAGAGTTTTGGAATTTATAAATGAACATTTCAAAAGTACATTGTATTGGCTCTCTGACCAATGCCATTGCTGTGAAACAATCTGGGCAGAGCAAAGAGAGCATGCAGAGGGAAAGGCAGGTAAAACAGTGGGAGGCATCCTGGTTTGACCTGGTGTATAAACAGCACTGATCTAGTGAAAAGAAAAGCGCATGTAACTAATAACCCAAATTTGACCTTTGCAAACAGTGAACAGTTAAAAACAGCTTTTGCATTGTATGTGGAAAGCATGTCAGCACTTATTTTCTTTTAAAAACAATGTTAGATTGTGCATTTTTTTAACCACCAGCACCTACATTGACTTGGCCTCTGCAGGGCATCTAATTAAAGCTTACATGATTTCATTCCCAGGTTTCCCTTGTTGCAAGATCTCCTTATAAATCTCATTTGTACTTTAGGCTAATTAGCCTTCCCTCAATCCAGGTTCTTGGGCTGGATAAGCTAAGCAATGCACGTGCAAAGTCCAAAGAGTTCATTTGGATTGGGCAATTTAAGCTCCTTTCCGCCTCCTCGATGTTTTACAAGAACCCATTTCTGAAAAAGAGGAGCAAGGAGACTTATATTGCAAGATCTCCATATTTATGTGCCTCAGTCTAGATGTCCTGCTGCAGAATAAAGGTTCTTGAGTCTATGAATCACATTTTATAAAAGCTAACACATTGGGAAGGGGAGGGAAAAGAAAAATAACCCCTCGTTGCCACAGCTTCATGTGACAAAAGAGAGAAAGGTAAGGAAGGATAAATGTCCACAATAAACATGGATATGGATCAATAAATATTACTATTTAAGAACAGTAAAAATAAATGCCAATGTGGTGCAATGGTTTGAGTGTCAAATTAAGACTCTGGGAGACCAGACCGCAAATCCCCGCTTGGTCATGGAGACCCACTGGCAGGCTTTGGGCAAGTCACACACTCAAAGAAGGCAAATGGCAACAGTCCTCTGAAGAAATACAGGCAAGAAAATCTCATAATAAGTTTGTCTTAGAATTGCCATAAATGAGAAATGACTTGAAGGCACACAACAACAACAATATGCAATCTAATAATAGCATTAGGTTGAAGAACACATTCATTGGAAACCTTCCATTCTGTTGCCAGCTTCTATGGTGACCCATATTATTTTAATCACAGATTGTTCAACATGCCCAGTGGCACGTACACTAAATTCTCTCTTCTCTGGAGCACCAGTTGAGGTGAACTTATGTAATGATTTCCATGTTTAAATCAACTGATTTCCTCAGCCTCCTCTGTCAGTGATGAACTGGCATCTCAGCACCTGCCAACATGTATCCCTATGCATCTGTCCACACAGAACTGATTAATAGGGCTTCACTTCCAAGGTTAAGAAGTTAGAAATACATATTTCCAGCTGAAGATAGAGCAATGATACCCCAAGTATGTGAGCCTCAGGCCTTGTATATTTCTCTACCTACATCATTATCATTTTAGCTATTTATGAAGGTCCTGTGCATGTCAATGTGTTAGAGGCCAAAACAGAGTAAAGAAAAGGTGCACAAAGAAATGGGGGTTTATAGATGGGGAAAACACTGAGTTTTCCCAATATAATTATGCCTTAAAATAAGTAATAGCCATGGATTACACGCACACTGCTGTATGTGTGCTATCAAAGAAAACCTGGCAGCATGGATTAATGGCCAAGTATAAGCTGAATTAAGACTTAAGGGAAGCAAACAGCTTACTATGACTTCTCATTGGAGCTTTAAAAGTGTTGTGGGGTTGTTGTTTTTTTTATATAAAAGATGGGGTGTGCAAAGTGCAGGCCATGAGCCATTTTTGTGGCCTCCAGCAGTAGAACCCCACAGGGTTTTAAAAAAAAGCATCTAATGCCCAAAAATATATCTAGCAGGGCATTTCTACCATGTTTAAGGGCACCTCTAAAGTCAAAATGAAATTTTACAAAGTTTTCCAATAATTTCCCCCCTCAAAATGCCCCCCAAAGCCATCTAGGAGCTCAAGAAAGGCCAAAAACATGTCCCTATAGCAATAGCATTTACATTTCTATACCTCTTGTCAGTGAACTCAGCACTCTCTAAGTGGTGAGCCAATTGGGTACTCATTTTGCCAACCTACGAAAGGATGGAAGGCTGCGTCAACCTTGGAGCCCTGGGATTGAATTCACAACCTTGTGGCTCCAAGACTGGTATTTAACTGCTGTGCTACCAGGGCTCCTATAACACCTAGATGGTATTTGAGGGAGATAGTTTTTATTTTATTTTTTGCAGGAGCAGGTATGGGGGAGGTTGCCTCTCCAAGAGGAT